GCACTTATTATTCAGTTGTATCTTTAAAAACACCAGAAAGAAGCCCACTAATGAGTATTTATGCTCTGTAAAATTAAACCCTTTTTTTCTGAAATGCACTACAATGTTACTTATTTGCATTTCCAGTGCTTAAAGTTTGACCCAAAGATATTCTTAACCTAACTGAAGACCTTACCTCACCTTTTCCAAAGCACTGTCAGGTTTTTACACTCCTGTTCTTTACCCAAGTCTGCCATCTGCTGTCAACAGCCACTTCATTTCTTTCCAATGCTAAATTTACATAGGCCAAGGTTTTTAATTTATTATTAAACAAGAGAGCTTTGAAAATTCGCACAATAAAATCATATAAGAAGTAAACTACATAAGGGCTGTAAAGGTTTGTATAAGATCAAAATATAAAATGCAGTTTTAAAAATTCTGTAATATTTCTATGCAACAATACTGATTCTCTGATCAAGTATTTCTAAAAATTTTTCTTTTATTTAAATGCAAAAATTGCTTATTAATCTGGTGAAAATTGGATTCAAGAGGGATGAGTGGTTATTAAAGGAAAAAACATTATCTCACTTATAGGGAAAGAGACAAAAGTACTTTGTTCTCCTAAATACTGGCACAACATGCAACAGGTGAGTGAGATCTGGAATTAGTAGGATGTCCCAAAATAGACAGAAACTCTAAAGCCACGAGTTTCCACTAGTAAACCACAATTAAGGAAATTCCCTTTATTTTCCAGAACAGGCTACACAAAATGAGAAGCATGATCTGTAAGACAAGGCTGCCTTACCTGTAGCCTCATGGCCACAAAGTGTCTGTCAGCAATTATACCTTAAATAAATTATTCTGGCAATAATCCACCCACTCCTTATCATCTTCCTTCCAGAAATCACCCATGTCCCAAGAGAAGGCAGCTATTGAATCACTCAATGGTTTGGGCTGGAAGAGATCTTTGAAAGGGCACCTTCCACTGTCCCAGGTGGCTCCAAGCCCCACCCTGGCCTTGGACACTTCCAGGGATCCAGGGGCAGCCACAGCTTCTCTGGACAACCTGTGCCAGGGCCTCCCCATCCTCATCATCAAAAATTTCTAATCTGAGTCTCCCCTTTTTAGTTTCAGATCCTAGAGATTCAGTCTTACTTAAGGTGAGGAAAAGAAGATAAATATAACTTTTTAATATAACAAAACATAAACTAAAATATTACAAGTAACACCCAGCACCTCTTAATTTTTACCCTGTAATTCCATAAATTGGGAGGAGCACAGGAAATAAAAGAAAACAAATATTTATTTACTAAGCAAGATAAAAAAGAAGGGATTTCAAGATATGAAATGATGACAGCATATTCCAATTACTACCAGAAATTACCTGGCTTAGGTGGTGTATGAACAGCTTTAGCTGAATGTGATGGTTCTGCAGGGACTGGTGTGTCTTTGTCTGTACAGATCTGAACAGAATCCGATTCCACCTTCGGCACATTCCCCTCTTCTTTTGTTTCTCCTGAGTCCTTATCTTCATCCTCCACCCTCTCAGAGTGATCCACAGCCAAGGGAGTCAGTTCAGACTGACTGACCTGAGACTCGTTTTTGTATGGAAAATCACACGTGGCCACATCATCTATATGGGCATCCATCGGCTCTTCTGTCAATAATTAACACCTGCATGAGTGATTTGCTCTCTGTACAACCACAGCTCATACTTTTCACAATTAAAATTAATACTAAATTAACTAATTTCCAATTTTACAAGTGTTTTCCCACGGACAAAGTGACTATCGCAACAGTCTGAAAACAAAGTTTCCTTTATGATCCCAAATTACAAATATCAATTAATTTATGAGAAGAGTTTCATTTTCTCCACTATAATTGGGACAGCCAACTATTTCAAGCTATAACTTCAAACAAATAACAACAAACAAACCTAGCATACCACACACACACGAAAGAGGCAAATTATAATGATTCAGAACCAATACAAGTTTCACCACCAAGAGGAATTGCTGGGTTTGGTGCTGGATAAATGGTGGGTGATTGTTCAATCACTTAGGAAAACCCTCTTTGTTTGCTCTTCCTTTTCTCTGCCACCAGCTACTCTAGTTAGTCCTCTCCAGATTATCAGTTTCATAACAGATGTAAAAACAGCACCTAATTCTCTACAGCACCCAGCTAGAAAGTGAGGACATACCCAGGAAAACAAGCTGGTCTGTGGAAAAAGGAAATATTTTCTTCAATAACCCAAGCCACCTGAACAATTTGGCTCCTGGGCTAATGAATTGCTCAAGAAACAACCCAGCCAGGGGTTTACACACAGAATTCAAAGCTCATTTGCCATTTGACCACTCAAGCAGGTATTTAAATCCTCCTTCCAAGCATCAGTATTGGTTTTCAAACACTCAGAGTTTATTACCTTCACTCACTACTTTCGAAACATCTCCTTTGGAAATAAATTTCAACATTTTCTTCAGAACCTTCTTGTGGGACTTGGAGGCCTGAAAATGCAAAGCCCGGCACCTAAAGAAAAAAAAGAGAACATTTCTTTTGTGAAAGATTGTTTCAGGAAAAAAGGGTTAAGGAACCATTTACAAAAATTACATTCTAATTTCTATTTTTTTCTTAGGTTTTCCTATATTGAGTGGTCAAATGTTTTATCAATGCTTTTGAGATAATATAATTACATTGTCTTCCAGTGAATAATATCAGTCCTTAGGACGTCTTTTTCATGTGTATCTCTAGAATTACTAAAATAGAAGTGTAAGCCTCTCTTATTTAGTCTGCTAAAGCAGTGTTTGTGGATTACAGACAAAGTTCCTTACAGGAAAATATCCCAGAGCTGCTGATGTCCCTATGCACAAACCCAAGAAGAGATACTTACTGTTCAAAGTATCATTAAAAGTAGATAAACTTCTCAAGTATGACGTATTTCAAGCAGTAAACACAAATGCTGGAATATATTTGAAGTGCTTAAATCCCTTACAAAAGTGTATTTTGAGTTTCTTACCTTATTGTGTACTGAGGACAACATGTTTGATTCATGATAGGTTTGTAGACGTATTTTCCACTTCTGAAAAGAGTAACAAATATGCATTGATTTTTTTGTTGTTGTTTATACCACAAAATAAATGAAGAAGCTTTTTTATTAAAATCACATCAAAACATTTCATGATGAGTAACAAAAGTCAAAGAACAAGTTCTTCAGTTCTTTGCTGACCGTATTATCCTTCTCAGACAACTGAATACTTTTATGTTTGACAGTGTCACATTGTAAAAGGTCACAGAGCACTGGACAAATAGTTCAGTTACTCATGGATATATAAGTGTTTCTAAATTTTAAATGTGGATTCTAACTTTTATTTCAACAGACAACATGACTTTGTATTTCCTTTTTCAATGTACCTGCGCCATCCTCTGTCGATGAGATCTTGGTAATCTTGAACTGTCATCGAATGTGCCCACATACCTGAAATAAATAACACAGCAACACACTTGACTGACCGTGGTTTGGTTTTGAAATACAACAAACTCTGTACTCCGCAGAATGGGTTGGAGCCCCTCTGCTCTGAGCCAGGCTTGGGGGTGTGCACCCAGAGAAGGCTCCAGCAACACCTCAGAGCCCTTCCAGGGCCTAAAGGGGCTCCAAATGAGCTGGAGAGGGACTTGGCACAAGGGATGAGATGACAGGACACAGAATGGCTTCCACTGCCAGAGGGCAGGCTAAGATGGGACATTGGGCAGGAATTGTTCCCTGTGAGGGTGGGCAGGCCCTGGCACAGGTGCCCAGAGCAGCTGGGGCTGCCCCTGGATCCCTGGCAGTGCCCAAGGCTGGGTTGGACGGGGCTTGGAGCAGCTGGGACAGTTTGAGGTGTCCCTGCCATGGCAGGGGTGGCACTGGATGGGCTTTAAGGTCCCTCCCAACCCAAACCATTCTGTGGTTACTGCAACTCCGAGTAGCTAATGGCCACTTATACAGAGATGTCTTTTCAAGTATTTGGCACGTTCTTAAATATCGTAATTACTGATTTCAATAATCACATTAAATGTAAAATTCCTAAGCCCACCACAAATCTTGGGATGCAATCAACCATATTTTTCTGACCGAACCAGCGCTAAGTTCCCCTCCGCACCTCCCATTTCCCCAGAAATACACAAGGAAAATAACACAAAATTGCCGCTTAGTTCTGTCACGCTCATCCAGGAGCAGCGGGCCATAGGAGCCGGTCCCAGCTCCCGGCTGGGCGGGCGGGAGCAGCTGCGGAGCCGCCGCCTGTCCCCGCCGCCCTCCCCGGCCCCNAGTTTCAGATGTAAGCCTTTTTCAGTATTCCAGACTTTTGTTCTTCTGCCAGCGAATGACAAAAAGAATATGGAAACAGAAAGCACAGAAAACAGTGGTTATGTGAGCTAATTAGCTTGCTGCCATTAACCACATTTCCCTGTAAATGCCACACCCTGTTAGACACTTTCTAAAGAAATTTTAGAATTGTAAAGAAGTTTCACATCATTGTAAAGAAGTTTCTTTTTTGTTTCCTTTCAAAGCAACAGACAACAGAACCAGTAAGTTCATAACCTGAAAAATCAGTTTGTAAACCCTATTTCTGAACATGAAATTGGTCTGCAAATCCTATTTCCTTCCACTCAGTGAAATCCTGCAGTCCACACAAAACAAATCAAGAAGCGTTTGAATCCTTTAGTAGAAACTCAGAAGGAAAGGGGCTGATGTGTGTGTCTCCAACTCCAGCTGGCTGCTGTGGAGCCAACTAAAGACTGTTGGCAATAACAGCCAAGGAGTGCTGGTAATCTCACACATTGTGAGAAACAATAGGATATATCTGGAAAAAGAACCACATGAAGGTAGGGCAGCACTTTTCTGGGACTAACATGCTTGTTCTGGCTCCTGGAGATAAGCACAGCACAAGCATCTGTGGATCTTGCATGCTCCCTTCCCCTTAAGGGATGTCACAAATACTATGCAGTTTATAATTACAAAACCCAAAACAAACAAATGAAAATATTTAGAAGTCATTTGTAATAACTATGCCAGAACAAAGGGCTAACTGCCTCTCAATCCGTTGCTTTGGTACAGGAGATTCAGACTTGAAAGATCCCATCCTAACCAAAACACAAAGAAAACACACATGCAAATCTGGTTTACTCTGTACACTTAGGAAACTTGATACTGAGCAGCGGATCTCCTCAAGTGCAAAATGATGACTGATAAAGCTTCATCACATTAAGAGATTTCTGCAAAGAACCAGCCCCAAAAGTTGTTCCAGTATGTTGACAGCCTCATACCTTGTCAAGACTCTGCTGTGACTTCAGATTAAACTCAATTCAAGCCAGGGCATCAAAGACAAGAACCAGTTAAGGCCTTTACCATGAGTGGCAGTACACATAATTTCCTTGAAGAAACTTACATGTAGTGAAAAGTAGGTGCTCTTCTGAAGTACTTGGGTGCTTCTTCTCCCATTGTCTGCCAGGCATCACTAGGTAAAAAACCACCTGTAACATCCTCAGAGTCATCAGTTTCTTGCACTTCTGTGCGATTTATACCCATGAAAGTAAGCTACAAAAGAAAAAAAGCTGCAATAAAAACTCACTTAGAGGTAAACCAGTAGATACACTCATGGTGAAACACTGTGTTGTGGTGTTTGCCTGATAAATTAGTACTTATTACCACTGCCTAAGAACTTTGACTTTCCTGAGGATACCATGAAAACAGATGAACACTCAAATTCACCCTTGTGTTCAGCAAGAAATGAAAGCCATAGGTAAACAAACTGCTTAGATTCCAACACATTTCAGTGATGTATTAAGTAGCAGAACACTCCTTATACTGCAGTTTAGAGCTCAGATATCTCACAGCTTTTGAACACCACACACTTGCTGAAAGCCCAGCCCCTCAAATAGCAAAAACTTATCTGGCCTATCCCTGTCAACACTAACCCAGAAAAAATTTTAAATTGAACTTTATGTTTTTTATAGACTTAAGCAAACAAGTCAGGATTCCTTGTTGATCTGCTGTAACATCAGGGAACATCTTCAATGAGCAAAAAAGCCAACAGCCTGCTTAAAAGCTGTTCTGATCTGACTCTACCCTCAAGTCACAGTACAAAGAGACAAACTGGCCAGTCTGAAAGCATCCCAAAGTTCCATTTCATGTGAGTGACACATGGCCTCAACAAATCTATCAATCAATATATAAACCAGTGGACAGGATAAAGAAACTACTTAGCTACTAAGAAAATACAGAAGAGTGACTGAAAAAAGAGCAGAAGACTAAGAGCACAAACTGAACCATGGTAAAGCAGCAGCAGCACAATAATAAGGGAAGTGTCTGCACTTTAAGTCAGATTTTCCCCTATTGCCAGTGCTTAATATGTAGTTTAAGACAATTAACAAAAGTAACTAGAAAGTTTATCAAAGAAATTCATAGGAAGAGCATTAAATTCCACCAGAACTGCCATGTGCTGCCTGACAATCTGAGGCTTTATGGTTCTGTAACAAACAGGGCAAACCTCCAGCAGACATGCTGGCGGATGCAGAGCCTGGAACTTACCAAGTCTTCTGCAAATGCTGTTGAATCAAATGCTGACATCTCAGAGTGTAACTCATTGGCTTTCTCCTTTCCTATATTGGATGCTATAACAAGAAACTGGGCATCCAGTGCAGCTTCTTGCACGGCAAACTGTTACAGAAAAGATGTTACAGTGATTACTATGAAATTGTCACAAATATAATTATCACATTCAGCATAGGGACTATCCTGGCTTTAGTGCTTTGGAAATCCTTTCATTGCCTTCTTTACCTCTAACACACTTACATAATCCTTATAATGAATTTGCATTTAAGAAAAGGAAAGAATGACAAACTATGGAAGACTAACACTCGATCTTGAACAACAAATGCATTTTTTATCACCATGTTTTCCAACTTTCCAAGAGAAATGAACCCCTCTTCACTGATATTTTTTATGTGCATTACTGATATACATTGTTCCAGTGAACCAAAATAAATCAAGGAATTATTTCAAAGAGCAAATAAACTATAATGACATTTATTTTCTCACATCAACTTACTCAACCAATCTTCAACTTAACATATCTACTTTAAGTTATATAAAAATTCTGATTAATACTTGGACCTCAACTTCACTCTTGTTCTCTTTTGTTTGTAAGGCATCATCTCCTCACACTTGGCCAAACACATCAATTAAAGACCACAGAATTTGTTTTACCTCCATCAAAAAGTCTATTGGCCTCTTCCAAAGCTTCTGTCAGCCTGTTGCTTTTGGAACTCAGTATATTTTCTCGATTTTCTGTGGGGAAAGACACAAAGGAAATCCTGAATTACTTAAACATAGAAGCACTGAGAAACACTGCACTTGTTTGATGCTGACTGGAAGCCAAAGCTCCATCACTCCTCTCCTCAACTGGGCCAAAGAGAGATAATAGAACAAAAAGCTCATGGGTCTAGATAAGGGAGAGATCACTCACCAATTTCCATGAAAGAAACAAACCAGCCCCTAAAACTGTATGCTTACTCCCTTCTATAAACAGGCTGGATCACCCATAAACTGCACTGTAGTGTCTTGTAAAACAACTGCACAAATTTGTCAAGTATTCACAAAACAACTAATCCCACGTGTTGCTGAACTTGGCAATGCTACTCACACAACCATGGCCACATTTCTGCGAGGAAAACATCACAACTCACTCAAACGCACATAGGAGAAGGATTAACATGCCTGTCTGGAGAGATGCTAAAAACTACATAGCATTTTCTGGAAGGCCCAAGAATAACTTTCTGGTCCAGGCACATAATGATACCTGCAGTTTCAAACTAAAGCTCAGACACCATGAAAGCAAAATTAAAGGACTTCTCTGCATCTCCAAGTCTAAAACCGACTGTTCCACTGCACCAATGCAGGCACCACATATGTGTTAGTGCAGCTAAATCCCTCATAAACTCGCTATCCCAGGGGATGCGGGAGGGGGACTTCCCCGGGACAAGGGGGAATCGCCTCACGCTGAGGCCATTTAGATATCAGGAAAAACTTGTTCCCTGTAAGGGTGGTGAGGCCCTGGCACAATTTGCCCAGAGAAACTGTGGCTGCCCCATGCTTCCAAGTGTCCAAGGCCAGGCTGGACACCGGTGCAAGGTGTCCCTACCACGGTCGGAATGAGAATACCCATAAGGTCCCTTCCAACCAACCTATGATTTTGCGATTCCATGCTTCCTGTATGTCGAAATTCCATCCAAGTAAAAAGCCAAAGAATCAGCAGGCCGAGGAACCCGGAGTTACCAGGAGCGTTCCTACAGTTCCCCACGCTCAAAACCGGCCGCCAGCGCC